AGCTGACAAAACCCAACCCGGGCCGGAGGTTGATGATCCTTTTTCTCTTCCCTCCGGACGGAGCCATCTTTGGATGGTACCAATCGGTGGGATTGAGGCACCAAAGAAGAGGCTTCTAGGGCCCCCTAGAGTCACGAATCGACGACAGAGGCCAGTCTGGGAGAGGGCAGACCGAGAAGACGAGGCTGCAGCCCGTGCCCACAACATAAACTGTAAACACACCCAACGGGTCTGTCGAGAGCCGGTCAAGCGGTGGGCAATGCCGCACGAAGGAGGAGGTACCAACGGGTTGTAGCAGCAAACGGCAGGCCAGTTGGTAGCATGACTTGTCTCTCCCATCGATTGCAAGTCGTCTGCCCGACAAAAGTTAACATGTCTAGACAATGATAGCAACCGAAAACAGCACAATTTCGTGACTATGGACACTTAAATCTGGGCAAGAAAGATGAGGGATTGCCTGTACCAGCCGGTCGTATTGTCTTAAACTCGACTTTTGCTGCTTCAGCCCCTCCCCCCCTCCTCGTCAGGCGACAAGTGGGTCTTCCCTCGCCACTGAGCAGACATACAAGCCGGTAATGGAGATGCTCTCTGATTGGCTAAAAAACGGGCAAATGCTGATGAGTATCAGCATTGTGCCCATCAGCAGTAGCACAATTCGTGTCGCTGTTCGCAGTTGTACGCGCCGAATGTACAGACAACTGAGCTCGGCCCGAGGCGACCTGTTTGTGGCCGGGGCGATGAGATGATGCCGGAGCAGTACCGTAGACGGGATGGCAACAGAGGGACTGGATGCGAGGAGAGAGAGCCTGTGAGTCCATGGGCAAATAGATCGAGGAGTGGAGTGAGCAGAGATGACCAGAAAAGAGGTACCGTCTTTTTGGGCCCAGCTGAACCGTTGCAACAAAGCGTGAGTCGGTTGAGGGCGGGCGGGAGATGGCGAAGATGTCGTTCGGAGACGGGTCGTGGAAGGACAGAAACGACGAACCAGCGGACCAGAACCGCGACCCTCAAGCCAGCTGCCGTCGAGGCGTTGGTGAACACCACCTTCCGACATTTTATGTCGACATCGCATTCTCCATGCTCAAGTCGGGAGAGATCGCCAGTCGTGAAGAAGAATTCTTCAATGGCATATTGTCAGACGACTTTCCATTTTGAGGGAGAATTTGGCTGGAAGCAATTCGTGAAACGGTCTCCTCCGGAGATTGTACGAAGAAGTCGTCGGCTCGCCGTCCTGAGCCTCCGAGCAACCTGTGCCGCGGTGAAATGGAGTCATGTCGCAATACGGCACTCACGAATTCTCCCAATCCAGTTGTTCTTCTTCGTCTTGAAGAGACTTTCATTTCCTGCAAATGTGACGAATTAAGATGAGATCACCCGACGAGTCTGTTCGGCATATTCTTTCATGGGAAACGCAAGTCCCTTCAACAGTATGAAAAAAAGTGGATTGGAAAGAATTGCTTAGTGCATTTCCATTTTGAAGAAAAGGTTGTTTGGAAGGAATTGTTAAAATGGTCTCCTTTGGAAACTGATGGACGATTGCTGCGGAGTGAAGACTGGCATATTGTGACCGCTTTTGCAGATATTGTTAAAACAAGAAGCCATTCTTTTTCTCTATTTCATAAAGTATAAATTCTAGCTCTGACGATGTCTGTCAAGGCGATACAGACGAGGATGCATCGAAGTCACCAGACTTGTTTGCACAATCCGCCAGTCTTCGTTACGCGTCGATCCTCCTTCGACTTTTGGAGGAGACCATTTCATGAACCCTTTCGTGTCAACTTTTCCTTCGAAACGGGATGTCACGCCTCCGGAGCATCAGTTGGCAAAGAAGAAGCTAAGATGTGACTAGTTTGTTAACGGCGTCAGTGAAGACAACCCGATCAGGCCCACCCGCAGACGAACCATCGCCAAACTGGCCAACAGTCGAGCTGTTTCTGGCCGCCCTCGTCTCCGTCAAGCAGCAGGTTTCTGGAGACTCATGAAGATATTAGAGTTGAGTTTCGAGACTACCAGTAAATCAGTGTAATGAGATGTATTCACCCTATTTCGTCTAATCTGATGAAGGACTGGTGGAAGAAGAATTTTCCCACAGGGCAGATGTACATTTCAAGGGAGGCTATGTCATATTCTTTGGTAGTTGATGAAAAAAGAAACTTTACGAAAAATATTGTAAGATTACAATGAATTCTAAACACATAATTATAATTAAGAAAGAAAAGCTAATATGAGATGTATTCACCCAATTTCGTTTAAGGTAATGAAGGACTGGTAACAGAAGAATTTTCCCACAATTATATGAGTTGAGCTGACGTTTCTATTAAATTTCACATATTTTTCGAATAAAGTATTGTTTTCGTGACTACCAGTAAATCAGTAGTATGAGATGTATTCACCCTATTTCGTCTAAGGTGATAAAGGACTGGTAGTAGAATTTTTCCACAATAATATGTGTTGAGCTGAAGTGTCCATTCAATTTCCCATGACCTTGCTTTCCCAAAATTTTTTATCATCCAGGCACCAGTTGACTGCAGATTCGATCTGATCAACACGTATATTTGCCATAACATCTCATATTAGTTATTTACTGTTAGTCTCGAAAGTAATTGGGTTGATAGCACACTTTTTATACGTTGGAAGAGTGACTTGAGAGAAAGAAGTATGAGGTAAGAATTGTAACAAGATTACGATAAGTATATTTTTTCGTATAAATTAGTTAGGGCCCTATCTTGGACTACTAATATTTGTTTATCGTAGGCGAGTAGAGTTTCGAGACTACCAGTGAAACATTAATGTGAGATGTATTCTCCTTATTTCGTCTAAGCTGATGAAGGACTGGTAGTAGAATTTTCCCACAATGACATGAGTTGTGCTGACGTCGATGCGAGGTCGAAAGTGCAGTCCACTTCAGCTGGGATGAGAACAACTTTTGAGAAAGCAAGGCTATGTGAAATTGAATGGAAACGCCAGCTAAATCATATGATTGTGGGAAAATTCTTCTTCTATCAGTCCTTCATAACCTTACACGAAATAGGGTTAATACATCTCATACTACTGATTTACTGGTAGTCATTAAAACAATACTTAATTCGAAAAATATGTGAAATTGAATGGAAACGCCAGCTAAATTCATATGATTGTGGAAAAATTCTTCTTCTATCAGTCCTTCATAACCTTAAACGAAATAGGGTTAATACATCTCATACTACTGATTTACTGGTAGTCATTAAAATAATACTTAATTCGAAAAATATGTGAAATTGAATGGAAACGCCAGTTAAATTCATATGATTGTGGGAAAATTCTTCTTCTATCAGTCCTTCATAACCTTAAACGAAATAGGGTGAATAAATCTGATATGACTCATGAGACGTTCATAATGGCGACTAACAAGGCTCGCCGTGTAAGGTGATAAAATGAAAGACTGAAATTCGAGTGGTACCAACAATGAGGCGAGTAGGTCTCATGATGGCAGGCATTTACACTCATTTCAAATAACTGGTTTCATCTTTTTCTTACAACTTGCTCGTGTTGCCATAGGGGCCCAGAAAATCGTATCCCTTCCGGACTGGTCTGTCGTGGTGGGCATAATGACTTGCAGCGTCGGACCGAGGACTTGGTGTGCTCCTGAGGCTGGAAAGTGTCATGGCTACGAGACAAAAACGAGATGAAGAAGATTGTGACCAGCATAAAGGCCATCCACTCAAGTCCTCATATCCTCAAGTTAACTTGGTTTTGCCTCAGAAAAGGTTCTCTCATTCAGGCTGTATTGCAATTCAGGCTTCCTCCGCAACCCCAACCGCATCGTGAGTGTCATGACGACGACACGACAATGAAACTACACAACCACGGCTGACTAGTAGGACTGTCGATGAAGTAAACATGTACAGACTGTAGCATTCGATGAGACTGCTTAGTTTCCAAGTCAGCAGTTGATATTCAGGCACGAATGATAGCCCCGAAACCCAATTAAATAAAAAATGAGCAGAGATTATCCCTTTGCTTCGTCCCCACACCAACAACGTCTGCACCACCGACAGCGGTAACTGGTCCATAGCGGGCTGATGAAAATCCCATGACTCTTTTGGCAACCGAGGCCCTGTGGCACACAAAACCACTTCGAGGGGTCATATTTCTTGAATCAAATTTTTGCGCCAAAAATGTTGTTAAATTCAGCCTACTTTTCCATTTACGATAGACTAGCGACTACAATCTCAAGAGTACATACTTTCCAGGAGCAACCATGCAGATGCCGATGCGTAATGCCGAATTCATCGACCTCAACAACAGCCGTCAGCACCGAAAGTCCCGTCCCCATGAGAACATCGCTCTTTCCAACATATCGTGCATACTAAGACATTGCAGTTGCCTTAATTCTGTATGCATTGGTATGAGTTGAATAGATTCTCAGCTCGACTTCACATGCTTTATGGTATTGCGAAGTTCAGTC